GGGGCGCGGGAGGGGCAGCGGGGAGGACCGGAGGGGGGGTTGTAGCAGCAATGGGGTAAGGGGTCATAGGCTCTGAGGGCACCAGGTCTGGGGCTCCTTGTCCCCCAGCTGGGGGCTGGCTGGAGACTGGGCAATAAAGGGGCAAGTGTGCTGTCTAGGAAATATGCCAGCTCGGACTCTGGCTGGGGCTGGATGCTGGAGGCTGAAGTAGGCCCTGGGTGGTTGAAGAGCAGTCCTTCCAGGGAAGTGGTGCGCCCGGGTGCAAAGGGTCATGGAAAGGACTGTGTGAGACGAGGGCAACACCTTGAAAACACAGTTAAAACTTTGCGTCCCAATAAAGGAGGCTTAATTTGTACCATTTTGATACCTTGGTGCAGCTTGAAATCTGCACAGAGCCGGCGTGTAGGAGCGGTACCGTTTCCGTGCGGCACGAGGTTACGGCCACGACTCCGGCCCACAGCTAAGATGAGCCGTGCTATCCAGGCCCAACCTGAAGTGAATTTTGTCTCATTGAGCCCGGTGTCATTCACCTGGGGAAGAACGTTTCCTTTTGCTTTGAGCACGATGAGGGGAAGTGGAGACACAAAGCTGGATGTGGAAGTGCTGTTATCAGTAGATAGTAAAATAGGCAGAGCGCAGGCTACAATGTAATTACCATTTTTCTTCTAAACAGGTAACTGCGCTGGTGCAAAATTATCTGAAATGGTTTTCCTATTGCCATGGAAATAACTTATGGTACTTAGATAGTACTTATTTTCATGGGCTTTGATTTAATATAGTATGCATTTTTATGTAAAGGTAAAGCACTTTCTGAACTCCATGTATTTTCATTCTTAAAACATAGGTTTATTTGCACTTAAATATCTGAATATCTTACATTTTTTTTTTTTTTTGTTAATTGTAAGGGATTTTCTGATTTTCTTGATTTCTACTGATTGTGCATAGGCAGGTAGTCCTAAGTTCACTAATGTTCTCCTCTCTAACCATGGTTTTTCATGAAAAATATAATATATTAAAAAAAGCACTTGCAATTATTCCTTTTGAGATTCTGTGACCAGTTGGTTACAATGATCAGACTAGTCTGATTTCCCAAAACAAGTACCACCTCTCCTGAGAGAGCGCTCCTTTTTAAACCTGCCAGGGCTTTTTGATCTCCTGTAATCTTGGGCCTTTTCCTGTCCTGGTATTACCTCTTAAAATCTTTAGCAGTCTAAGTGCAGGAAAAGCATGACTGGGCAGCCAGGGCAACTCAAGGAACCTAAAGGCTCAAGCCAAGGGTAGGAGAAAGCAGAGCTAATTAGTCTACTTTAATTTCTCCCCTTTGTATTTAAGCACTGCTCATTTCACCCCCTTCCCTGCCAGCAGTGCGCAGTTGGCCACTAGTTGAGTGGCTGAGTGCAGCTGTGCGCGCCTGCCTAGGTACCTAGTTGTCACGCCAGCCACCCAATAAGCCAGGTGGGACAGTGAGTGAGGCCAGCTTGGGGATACTAAGGAGGTAGCAGCTGGGAGATGGGCAGGCAAGCAGGTAGCAGGGCCTCATTAATTAATTAACCTCCCTTTTCTCATCTGGTGGCTGCAGGAAAACCCTGACTGTGGGCAGCTGCTGGGTCTCAGTGAACCAGAGGGCTCAAGCCAAGTGGGGAAGAAGCCAGTAGGGGCATCACCAACTGGTCACAGAATCTCAAAAGGAATAATTGCAAGTGCTTGAATTCATCTGTACCTCCTGGGTCATCCTGGTTTATACTCAAAGTACTCTAACCCTAAAACTGGGACAGAGTGGGAGGGTACTGGTACATTCAGAGAAATCAGAAAACAACAAAGCATCTATGTGTGCTTTTCAGCGCACTAAATAACTCCACCATAAGGTAGTACTTATGCCAGGCGGTACCATGCTCTCCCTGACCTCACGGAAGTGAGGAACATACTTGGCTCTGGTTTTTAGTGGTGTGCACTGCCCCTGCGTGCACCACTCTGCTTTTCTTTGGCATAGGATTTTTTTGACCCCTGGATATCCAGGGGTCACCCCCCTCCCCCCTACATTCTGCTCCCTTGCAGTGCAGAGAACAGCTGAACATGCTGTATGTGGTGCTGCAGATGTGTTTGAAGTTGTTTCCCACAATTCTGCATCCTTAATCCTATCCCTAAAGAAGTTCTATTTGCTTTTCCCTTTCGGTGTGTTTTTGAATAAGAATTTTAAATGATAGACATTAAAAACTATATAATCACCTGAACTTTGCCTGAGAGGTATCTACATTTTAGTGGCTGAGTGAATTGATTTTTCTCTATACTGTTTATAAAATGTTTGGGGATACTTTGGTATGAAAGCTGCTGCATAAATGTAAGATGATGTTAGAGTTTCACTTTTACCAGAAAATACCTAGAGCTGGGCATATTTTAAGGCAATATTTTCAGGTTTCCCTATCCCCAGTAATTTGAACTGGGAACACAATGGAAAAATATATGGACTGAAAGATAGTTTTTCCTCACACGGTCATAGCATTACAAACATTTTATCCATACCCCAGGGCCATTGTATGCTTCTAATGATTTTTGTGTCCAGTCTTGATTTTAATGACCAAAGTTGTAGGACTGTCCTTGAGAGACTTTTGGCAACTAGATCTCACTTAAAAATATATATATATTTTTGTGTTTTTCCTGCGGCACTTTCCTTCGCTCAGTTCCATCTTGTTAGTCTTAGGAGAATTCCCTGGTTCATCTCTAATAAATTCCTTTCTCTTCTTAGTGTTCAGAGTCTAGAAATATCAGTAGATGTTTCTGGAAAGAGGGCACCCTATGTAGGCTGGAGTCTAAATAGGAATACACTTTATTAATTTTTTATAGAGAAAGAGGATGTTTTTGTAAATTTTGGGAGATCTGGGCTCAGTCCTGAGCTCTGACAGGCTTCATATGTAATCTTGGGCAAATAGTTAATTATATTTCAGCTAGTAGAAACTGGCATAAAACCTTATTTAGTAAAATAGAAGATTATAAGACAATGCCCCCCCCAATAAATAGATTCTATAGATGGAAAATATATAAATTTATTATAATTTTTTAGTTATAGAATATAATTATTGGAAGTTTGCCTTGGATTTGTCCCCCTCCCACTGCAACAGCAGGGAAAATAAATCTGGAGGGTGAAGGGAAAAAAAATCTGGAGGGTGAGGTACTCCCTTTTCTCTCTGCTTCTCCCCAACTTTTCCCCCTAGCAGCCCCTTTCCTCTCTCTTTACTGTCAGACCATGCTCTCCCTGAGCTCATGGAAGTGAGGAACAAACTTGGAAACAATATCCTTGACTTTAAACATGGCTATGATAATTTGTATGTAGTAACCATGCAGGTACTTCATCTAGAATTGATATATGTTGAATACATCTACATGAAGTGTTTACTGTTGAGTAGACTAATTAGGTCTGCAGTAAACCTCTTGGCTTCTAAATGCGTGGCCCTATTATGCTGCAGGAAACTAATAACTTCTGCAGCAGGGTAGTACTTGTAAATACAAGTACTATCGTTCTGCAGAGTTTTTTGTCACAGCACTGAATGTGCAGATGCTGCCCGGCTGGCTGGGGCACAAGGGTGTTTCAATGCAGGGGCTGCCTGCCAGCTTGTCCCACACTGGAGCACCCTTGTGCCCCAGCCAGCCCCTTTGCAGCATGTTGAGCTGGGTCAGAGTAGCTCCTGGCTGGCAGGATGATCCACTGGGGCTCCTCCGACCTGGCTCAATGTGCTATTGTCCTAGGCACATGTGTAAACACAGCACCCCGGAGCAATAAACTCCAGTGTGATATGCACCAGATTTTATTGCTGTGTATTAATAGCATGCATAGACGTGCCCATTCCCTTTCATTTGAAACTGCTGCAAGTTATAGCACAGGTATTCCATAAAGCCACTTTTAAGCAGCACTTTGGCATTTGTATTATATTACATGTAAGTAAATGATGAGGGTTTTTTTTAAATTGATTTATTTACAAAAAAAATCCAAACTCCAAGCTGTTTCTTCCTTTCCTCTCCTCTTCCCCTTTTAAGACAGAGTGGTGTGTCAAACATTTGCTAGGCCTATGAGGGGTTAAAATATACCCCTGGAGAACCAGGAACAGAGAAGGAAGGAAGAAGCAAATAAAATCTGGGAGAAAGAGAAATGGGTCCTGATGTTTGTGGACAGAACCTAAGGAAAGAAAGAACCAAAAAAATGTTGTATGGGAAACTGGATTATAAAAAGGCCATATTCATCTTCTTTTGGGGCTCCAGATGGGAGAGAGTGAAGAGGAAAACCTTATATAAGACAAAATGGATAGGGGACTGAGGAATGTTGGACATTCTGCTTTTCCTCTGGGCCAAATACACAAGCCAGATCTTCAAGCTGGCAAGCGGGGCAGGGGCTAAAACAGCCTGCTTTGTGAACTATTTTGTAGGTCACATACTATGACATTGAGGGTTATGCATACCTCTGCACATGAATTTAGCTACCTGGGAGCTGCCGTGGTTCTATGGAACCCTGGAGCAGTTCTGTAGTAGGTACAAACTACAGAAAGAAGGTGCGATGACCCTAATGAACCACCACAATATCCAGGAGTTGGTGAGGAAATGGAATGTGATGTCAACCATGGGTCTACTCCCAGCTGCCAGGCCATGTAGGAAAGGATCTTCCATGAGGACCTGCAGAAAGAGCGCAGACATGAACTGGCAAGTAGGTCACCATGGACTCCGGGTATGGACACAAGGTTACACAGAGGAGCAGAGAAACCAACCGTATTGCCCCAGGGAAATCTGCCTTTGGAGAGACAATCAACCACTTCCTGTGATACTGTCCTTTTGCCAAAGGGGCGTG